TGCTTCTTCACCTGGGCCACACCCACATCAAAGTTTTGTATAGATACAACTGATTGGGCAAACTAGTCATATATCTGCATTCTAGTTGCCATGGAGGCTAGGAAATAAGGGTTTTAAAAATTGTACCTCAGGAAGCAGTCTTCACAATGTGGGGGACCATCAAAAGTGGAGAGAGTGCTCAGAAGATTCAGAGCAGTCGTCATGTCTGATATTCCCTCATGGGGAAACATACTTGAGTTTGTTTCCATCTCCTGGTCCAGCTGCCTTTTCTTTTTTTAACCCCACTGATCCAGTAACATTATACTTGTTTTATACCTTTCTCTGGTCCTAAAATACACACTAATGAACTCTTTACAAATAAATTGTTCTCATTAGAAAGCCCTACCTCAGGCTTAAGATGGGATTCATTGCTGCAGCCGACTAAACAGAATACAAAACTGAAGGGGCTGAGCAGCCCCAGCTGTGCACAGTAAGTCCTTGAACTAATTATCCTAATGCCTACCCCATCTACTTGTACTCCATGTATCTGCAGGGCCTCTGGGGGGCGCCACCAGAAAACATTATGTCCACCTCCACTGCAGCCTCTTCTGTTTTCTCTGATCTGGTTTATGCATCAATAAGACCCATTTAACTGCTATCTTGCAGAAATTTTTCAAACTTTCTCGTTTGCTGATTGCATACCTCCTTTTTTGTGCTATTATGGATTAATTTTTTTTGTATATCTTTACTATTATTTCATTGGGACTTTGGAAGGAATTGGAGATAAATGCAGGTGCTGAGTCAACTGTTTTGTTACAAAGTTTTGTCCATATTTTAGAAAACGAAGAAACAAAGAAAATCACTTAGCCCATGCCCCTTTATGCCCTGTGCCCTCTGTTTCCCAGGGGTTGGCAAACTTTTCCTACAAAGGACCAATAGTACATATCTCAGACTTTATTGGCCCTAGGGTCTCTGTCACAACTACTCAAATCTGCCATTGCAATGCAAAAGCAGCCATAGACAATACATTAAGAAATAGGCATGGCTATGTTCCAATAAACTTTATTTACAAAAAAAGATGACAGGCAAGATTTGGCCAACAGACCATAGTTTGCCCACCTTTGTTCTACGTGAAAGATCCTGAGGGAGAATATACCGACAGTTTCAGCACTAGCCAAGGAATAAAGTATTTGAGGGTGCATCTGTCTTTCATATTGGGTTAGTATGATTAATCCAATATATTGCTGAAACTCTCAATCTCTCATTGTCCATAGATATTAAAGATATTTTGTTGCAAAATATTGGTTTAAGAATACACCATTATGTCCACAAAATACTTTTGTGTTGCTGTTTCCTAGTGCCAATGAATGAAATAATATCTATCAGGCTTCTTTGTGACTTTGCTCTTCAAAATATGAAAGCAGCATTTAAAAAGAATTTTCTGGTATATAAGACCCTCATATCAGTAATAATTTCTTCAGAAATTAGCGTGTTTACAGGTAAAGGAGAAGAAAGGTAAATCCCCAAAATTAACGTTAGGAAACCAGAGTTGTAATGTTGCGCAGATACCTGGTAAATTAGCACATGAAGAGAGAGAGCACAACAACAAAAAGCTGCTCACAATCATTTTCATCTGAGTTTTTGCTTAAAGGGAAACACAGTGAAATTTGGAGGCAGGAAAAGGGCAAAAATGTGTAGAGTAGGTATAATATAAAGTATTTTGAAGTTTAAATGGATCACAAAGTTGCTGAAAACTTATTTTCCCCACACATTTGCTAAGGTGGATTTGTGACAGAAGCAGACTATATATCCCTCTTTCATTTAATCCATGCAATACTTCAGCACCAATAAAAATCCTTTTGACTCGGATGTTCAAGCTTGACATTTGTATATGCAAACTGGAGAGAGAAAATTCAGCTCTGAAGTTGTCTTGAAAAGAGGAGGGAAGCTTAGGGGGTTGGGCATTAATTCCCCAAGTGAGGGAAAATGTCCAGGTTCAGGAGGGCCAATTCTCCACCTTGTGCCAGTTGCTTCTCTTGCCGTTGAGACTGACGGCTCTCTCCCGGTGCTGCCTTTGAATGAGAGGTCTGCAGTCATCACTTCCACCGCAGTGCCACCCCCTTGCTTTGCAGCCAGGTTCCACCTGTACCCCTCTTTCAAACATCACTAATAACTTCCTAACTGGCAACTCCAGTGGACTTGACTTCATCTTTTTTTGACTTCCATGTGGCATGTGACATTTTCCTCTGTAAACTTAAATCTTTGATTCCTAAACCCTTCTGTTTGCTGTTTTCTTCCTAACTCTTTCCTTACTCTATCATTTAGAATACTTTCTATACTACTCCTATCCTGTAAATATAAAAGATTTTTGCCAAAATTCAATGCTCCTTGAGGGATAGTATTGCATGGTGATTCTGAGCGTAGGTGCTCAATCTAGGTGGAATGGCTTCAAATCCCAGCTTGGCCACTTACTAGCTGTGTGACCTTGGGCAAGTCTCTTAACCCCTGTATGCCTCAGTTTCTTTATCTTTAGAATGGGTCCAAAGATAGAGTTTACCTCATTGGGTTTATGAAGATTTTCTGAGTAAAAACGTGTAAAGCAGTGTTTCTTGTACCATAACATGCATACAGATCAAATGGGAATCTCAATAAAGTGCAGATTCTGATTCAGTAGTTCGGGGGCCTGAGAGTCTGTATTTCTAACAAGCTCCCGGGTGATATGGATGCTGCTGGTCTGTAGACCACAAGTGAGTATTAAGGAGGAAAAGTATTTTACACCAAGCCTGGCACTATAGAAATATTAGCATCATCGTCAATGTTGCCAACATCATATTCCTCTTCCTGGAAACATTCTCTTCTTTCAATGATCTCACCTATTTCCTTATCATCATCCTAGAAGAATAAAAGCTTTGGAAGTGCAGGGATCTTATTTGTCTTATTATATCTAGATGTTCAATAAATAGTATTTGCTGTAAAAAAGAAAAAGGAAGGAAGGAGGGAAATATGGAAGGTAAAATAATATTCCATGTGAATAACTCAATGTTTATCACTAGATCTGACTTCTCTCCAGAATTCCACCCCAACACTGCTGACTCTGCTAAACATCTCCATCTGGAAGTCCCCAGGCATCTCATATTCAATCCTTACAAAACTGACTCAATATCTCCTCTAGTCTTCCCCTTCCTTCCCTCTTTTCTCCAAACCTGTGACTCTCCTCTGTGTTCTGTTTTTCTTCATGGTACTCCCACATTTTTCCTTCTTTCTTTTTTTTATTGCCATTTACTCTAAAAAGGAAAGCCCTCAACCCATCTCTACCTGTCAAGATGGTAAGTACTCTTGAAGGCTCATCTCATACCCTGTCTCCCTCAAGAAGTCTTCCAGTAGGACCCCGTTAGATGTATAATCTCAGTACTCTGATACCGATACTCTTATGGTCCAAGTCTAATTGTTTTACGGCCTAAATGTGTTACCCCACCTCAGCCACGTATGTATTGCATTTAGGATTTTTGTACCGTCTCTATTATTTTGTCACTTTTGTCAAAATATATATGCACATGGTTTAAAGAGAAAAAAAAAGTTCTCAAAGTCTGTAGATAATTCCTAAAACTGAAAACAAGAAGCAGCCATAGGAAAAGAACAATTCTTTCTTGAATACACATGCAAATTTCGTGTTCATGGGGGGCAACCACTTTCAGCTCTCGTAGTTCTTTTGTTTTTACTTCTACTTCACTCAATAACATACTTATGTTGCTGCTTATTCTTTTTATTTTAGTGTTATGTATAAATTGTTCATTCTGGAAAGTGAAGATTTAGTTCTCTTTCCCATCCTACCTCTTTTATATAGGGGCCCACTTCTCGTCTCTCCAGTACTGTAGATATCTCATGATTTGGCTTAGATGTATATTCCGTTTATGTTATTTTGACAGCTGAGCCAACAATATGCTTTCCTTTTTATGTATAATCACTTACTTTTCATGGAGTTAATAACTGTGGAAGTTTTTCCCACTTCCTTAATAATTTATATACACTAATTCAGCTCCCAAAGCTGCCCACTTAGGAACCCTCTTCTCACCATGTTTACACCCATTGGGCTCCATATGCATTTCATCTCGTTTAAGACGTCTCTCCCCGAGATTTTCTGCTGCTTCATTCTATACTGCTTGCTTTGTACCAAGAGCTGTTATCATGGGCTCTCTCATGACCGTCATCTTGAGGAGTTCCCTTATGTCTCTTTAGTGTTGGATCTCCCATTTCTGGGGTCCTGGACTTCTCCCAAGTAAACTTGGGGTTTACTTCCTTGTTTTTGTGGAATACAACTTCCAGTATCTTTGTGGCAAAGAGTACATGTGAGGTAAATCTTTTGCAATGATGCATATCTGAAAATATATTTTTCTACATCATACTTGGTTGATAAGGATGAACATAAAATTCTAGGTTGCAAATAATTTATCTTTAGAATTTTTATGGCATTGCTCCATTGTATTCCGGCTTCTGTGTATCTGTTAAGAAATATGATGCTATTTTGATTCTTGATCACTTAAATGCTTTTTTTTTTTTTTCTTGTGGAAGATTTTAGGATCTTTATCTTTTTTTTCACATTGTTATATGTGTGCTCTGGAAAAGTGGTGGCCCTTCAAATCTGGAAGTTCTTCATTTCTGAAAATATGTTTATATTTTTTGTGTTGATATTTTTCTCCCTTCCTGCTTTAACTCAATTTTTCTTTCTGACCTGCTGTTATTCAAATGTTCAATCTTCTAGATTCGTTCTCTAGGCATCTTATATTTTCTTTCATATTTTTATTTTTCTATCTTTGTTCTATATTCTGGAAGATATCCTTATCTTAATCTTTCAACTTTTTGTGAGGTTTTAATTTCTATTAACATATCTTTTAATTTTTAAAAGTCTGTTTTTGTTCTTTGAGTGTTCTTTTTATGTCATCCAGTTCTTGATTCATGAATAAAACATTTCCTATTCTCTCTGTGAGGATATTAATAATATTTTTGAAATTTTCTTCTCCATGCATCGTCTCTGTTTCCCACAAATTTATTTTGTGTGTATATGTGTGTTTTGGTTTCTGTTCTGCACATTGCTGTTTTTTTCCCTCCAGTATCTGGCTATCCTTCCATATCTGCTCAAACTTGAGTGTGGTACCAGAGATGCTTGGAAATACTTATATGCAGATGATAACTTTTAAATGTATGTTGGCTGGGCTATTTTGTTAGGGACTCCCCAAGATCATTACCCGTAGTTAGGTTGGTCAGAATCACCAAAGAAGAATCTTCCAGTCTTTTGCAATCTCAACATTCATATGTGTATTTTTACTTATTCTCTGTTTTTACTAAAGTATCTCTGCCTCACTACCCATACATATATTTATTTATTCTTTTTGACACAAATCCTCTAGTCTTTTGCAGGAGTGAAGCATTAGCAGTTGCCTGGCTATGCAAAGTATAAGAAAGAATCTAGACATCAAATTCTTCTTGAGCAAAATTACAATGCATTCATTAGTTCTTTTCCACTGTCACTGTCTCTTCGAAAAATTCCCATACTATCACTCCTAACTTGCAGGAGTTCTGTAGTGAAAAGTGGCTTGCTTCTTAGCTTCCTCAGTGCTGCCTCCAGATTCACCTTTGCCAGGACTGGGTAAGGAAGCTTACCCTAGTCCTTCTGACTTCACACTATCAAAATTACGTCGGTCTTGTCCGCTCTGTACTTTGTTTTGTCCTCACAGTTCTTTTCTTTTAAAACATCTATTTACTAACATTTTATTGGCCTTTTGGGAAGGAATGCATCTAAATGAACTTGTCCAATCTTCCCCCAAGTCACTTTTTTAAAAAACTTAAATACCTACTTTCAGTTTATCTTAAGCAATATTTGTGAAATAATGATTTTTCTATGTAGCTATATTATGCACAGCAAATAAGCACAGGACATGTTTTTAATTGTCCACATAATACCCAAGAGTATTTTATGAACTTCAGATTTTAAGCATAACATATTTGAGAAGTGCTATGCAATATTGCTCAGCATGGAGTTGACACACCCTAGACATTTGTTGACTTGAAGAATTTATGTTTCCTGGTCATTCTTTAGAATAATTGTTTTTAATAGTGTATTTTACACAATATGTTCTTGTGTAAGTGGTGTGTGTGTGTGTATGTGTATGTGTAGCAGGTGATCATTTGGCCACTTAATGGAAGCAACACTACAGATTGTCTGTGTACCCCCAGGAACAATTCCCCACTGCTGAGTTACCGTATTTCTCAGCAGGGTTGAGACCCTGGCAGTGGTGTAAGAATTATCATTATTTTCCAGAATATTACCATCTGCTCATTTGATCCATTAACCTCCCATTGTACCTCATAAAAGAAATGTCCAGCTATAGAAGCAGATATACTGTAGAACCAACAGAGGAAAACATGTTCAACACACATTTTGCTTTGCGAATAAGGGTCAATGCTTCTATTTTCTTTCTCTTTCTTAAATAGTTCCGTAACTTTCCTGAAAGGAGATTGTAGATTATCCACATAAATGAAACGACCCTGGTCTAGTTTGTTTATTTATTGCTGGTAACAGGTTAAGACAAATCAATTAACATTCAAATTAGTCATTTCTTTGTGTCTGCCAAGGGCAGAAAAAATAAATGAGCTCACAGCTGGTTAAAGTCATGTACAGTTTCTCTCCACCCCATCCCACCCCCTTTTCACAGACACAAAATTCGGCTTTTTTAGCCAATCATTGTAACACTTTGAAATGATGTAATTTTTATTTTGGTCACGTTGACATTTACATGAGTTTGCAGAGTCTGAAAAATTATGTGATTTGGTGGTTTATCTGAATTATTTATGCAGGTACTCTTCTTCATTTCCCAACACTTAATAATAACAGTAATACTTTATGCTGTGTTACAGACATTGTTTTGAGACCTATCTGTATTAACTCATTTAATCTTCACAATGACCTTTTGAAATAGACATTATTCCACTTAAGCAATAACAAGATGAGGCACTCAGAGAATTAACTTTCCCAGAGTCACAAAGCTAGTAAGTGATGGGTCAAGAGTCTGAAACCACGCCCACTGGCTCTAGAGTCAGCCTTTTGGCATCACACTCCACTACCAGGTTAACTTCTAAGATAATGCAGGTCCATCTTGACTGTAGCAGTGAACATCTTCAACTGAAGAGCGAACAAAAATCTTTTATTTTCCTGATTTGAGGATATGCTGGTGTTACAGATTCTACAGGAGTCCAGGGTCTACAAAAGATATTCAATATAAGCCCATCGCTTTTTCTAAATTAAATAATGGCTTCTCTTAGTTTATTTAATTTGAATCTTCTTTAAGGCTGCCCTAAAATTAAAATAATATGAATTCAGTAGACTTTTAAACAAAAGAAATCATATTAAATTAACAAATAAAAGTTCAAATGATGTGAATTCTAGGCTTTTAAATTTTTGAAATCTTTTAAAGGCCAAGCAAAATAAAAAACCTCTTACCTGTAAAGTAGACCATTATCTTAGTTTTAAGGTGTTTTAAAAAGGAGCTTTAAACTTGATAATGAGTATTTACAAAATCCTCCAGGTAATATTATACTTAACGGTGAGAAACATGAAGCTTTCCCACTAAGATCAGATACAAGCCAAGGATGTTCCTTCTCACCACTTCATTTCAGCATTGTACCGGGAGATCTAGCTAATGCAATAAGACAAGTAAAGGAAATAAAGGGTATACAGATTGGTAAGGAAAAATATAAAACTGCCTTTGTTCACAGATGACATGATCATCTATGTAGAAAATTTGAAAGAATCAATGACAATAACAACAACAACTCCTGGAACTAATAAGCAACGATAGCAAGGTTGCAAGATATGAGGTTAATATCCAAAAGCCAATCTCTTTCCTGTATACCACCAATGAACATGTAGAATTTGAAATTAAAAACATATTACTATTTACATTAGCACCCCCAAAAATGAAATACTTAGGTATAAATCTAACAAAATATTTGCAAGACCTATATGAGAAAAGCTATAAAACTCCAATGAAAGAAATCAAATAACTAAATAAATGGAGAGATATTCCAAGTTCATGGATAGGAAGACTCAATATTGTTAAGATATCAGTTCTTCCCAACTTGTTTATATAGTCAATGCAATCCCAATCAAAATCCAGCCAATTCTTTTGTGGATGTTGACAAACTGATTCTAAATTTTATAGAGAGAGACAAAAGAGCCAGAACAACCAGCACAATATTGAAGGAGAAGAACAAGGTTGGAGAACTGACACTACCTGACTTCAAGACTTACTATAAAGCTACAGAATCAAGACATTGTGGTTTTGATGAACAAAGAGACAAACAGATCAATGGAACAGAATAGAGAGCCCAGAAATAGATCTGCATAAATATAGTCAACTGATCTTCAACAGAAGAGCAAAGGCAATACAATGGAATAAAGATAATCTTTTCAACAAATGGTGCTGGAACAACTGGACATCAACATGAAAAAAAATGAATTTAGATACAGACCTTATACCATTCACAAAAATGAACTCATAATGGATCATAGACCTAAATGTAAAATGCAGAACTATAAAACTCCTGTAAGATAACAGGAAAAACCCTGGATGAGCTTGGTTATGGCAATGACTTTTGAGATATAACACCAAAGGCACTATATCTGATAATGGACTATTGTCTAAAATATATAAAGAACTCTTAAAACTCAACAATAAGAAAACAACCAGTTCAATTAGGCTACAGACTGTAACAGTCACCTCACCAAAGAAGACATACAGATGGCAAATAAGCATATGAAAAGATTCCGCATCGCATGTCTTCAGGCAAATGAAAATTAAAATAACAATGAAATATCATTTACATCTATTAGAATGGGCAAAATCCAGAATACTGGCAACACCAAATGCTTACAAGGATGTGGAGCAACATAAATTCTCTTTCTTTGCTAGTGGAATGCAAAGTAGTGCAGCCACTTTGGAAGACAGTTTGACAGTTTCTTACAAAACAAAACATACTCTTACCACACAATCAAAACCATACTCCTTGGTATTTACCCAAAGGAATTGAAAACTTACATCCACACAAAAACCTACACTGGATGTTTATAGCAGCTTTATTCATAACTGTCAGAATTTGGAAGCTACCAAGATGTCCTTCAGTAGGCGAATGGATAAATAAACTATGGTACATCCAGACAATTTTAATATTATTCAGCAATAAAATGAAATGAGCTATCAAGTCATGAGAAGACATGGAAGAACCTTAAATGCATACTAATAAGTGAAAAAAGCTAGCCTGAAAAGACTACATACTGTATGATTCCAACTATATGACATTCTGGAAAAGGCAAAACTGTCCAGACAGTAAAAAGATCAGTGGTTGCCAGGAGTTGGGGGTAGGAGAGGGACGAACAGGTAGAGTAGAGATGACTTTTAGGGCAGTGAAAATACTCTTTATGATACCACAATAATGGATACATGTCATTATACATTTCTCCAAACCCATAGAATGTACAACACCAAGAGTGAACCCTAATGTAAACTATGGACTCTGGGTTATTATGATGTGTTAATGTGGGTTCATCAGTTGTAACAAATGCGCCACTCTGGTGGGAAATGTTGATATGTGAAAGGCTATACATGTGTGGGGGCATGGGGTATGTAAGAAATCTCTGTACCTTCTCTGTGATCTTTTTCTTTTTTCTTTTCTTTTTTTTTTTGGTGAGGAAGATTCATACTGAGCTAACATCCATTGCCAATCCTCCTCTTTTTTTGGCTTGAGGAAGATTAGCCCTGAGCTAACATCTGTGCCAGTCTTCCTCTACTTTGTATGTGGGATGCCTCCACAGCATGGCCAACAAGTGGAGTAGGTCCACACCCAGGATCCAAACCCCCCAAACCCTGGGCTGCCGAAGTGGTGTGCCCAGAACTTTAACCACTCAGCCACAGGGCAGCCTGCCCCCTACATCCTCCACCTGCCCCATGATCTTAATACTGGTCTAAAAAGAGTATTTTATTTAAAAAAAAGGAACGTTATGTTCAATGCTCATAGTTTAATTTCACATTGTTGAATTTATTGTCTAAGTGCTTTAAACCCACAGTTGTTTCCAGATGTACCAATCTAGTTGAAAATCTTATTGCATTAGTAAAAATTGAGAAAGTCACTGATTCCCACTTATTTGTCTTTGTGAGGTTAAGCCTTCAGAAGAAAATAAAAAGCAATTAAAAAATAAAATTGATTCATTCCTTTCCATCCGCCTTCACTTCTATGACAGTTTTTTAAAACTATTTTATTTTCTACACTTTCATAAGTCCATTGCCACCTTGTTCCAAAAACTGTCCCCATTGTCTGAGTTAAATTCGTTTTGTTATTTTATAGTTAGTTGATGAGGCAATCTTCTTTTTATTCTTGACAAAGGACTTTTTTACATCTTTATTTGGCCTCAGAGCTGAAACTCTTCTCATAGAGAATTAAAAATTGCGAGTTTGAATAGGAAGCTAAAATGGCTGATGTATATATTTGAATGGCTTAACATAGAAATGTTGAAATAATCTAGTCTTCCAACTTTCTTTACAAAAGTTTTAAACTCATTCAAGAAAGAAAGAAATAAGGAAAGATAATAAAGGTTTTCCCCTTAGAGTTAAATAGTATTATCTTTTTAAGGAGAGTTCATATGAAAAGTTACACAAATATAACTTGAAATATTTGAAGAATGAGTGCTAAATATATACACATATACAGACAACTTGGATAAATGCATGCATATGAAATATATACACATATACATATAAATATATACATATATTTAACATACACACATATTATTTAGGTCCACATTGCAATTGAGTTTACTAAATCTAGAGTCTATCCAGTTTAGAGAATCTGTGTTTCTCTAAGACAGTAAGTCACTAGTCTTCAAGTTGTTTCCCTTTGTCTGAACTTATCTGTTTGATACAGCAAGATCAGATTGACATTGAATATGACACAAACACACTCAACACTAAAACAACTTATTCACACACTATTTCAGACTAAAACTGACGATGAAAGATGCTAAAGTACACCAGAAAAAACAAGAAGGTTATGAATCTGTAAATATCTTTGTTTTCAAAGGTATGAAGAAGCTAATCAGGAAGGTATAAAGAAGCCGTCAGTGTCCTCAGAAACTACTTGGGTATTTTCAAACAAAAGAAATTTAATACAGGTAATGGTTACAAAAGAGGGAGAAGGGCAAAAGAGCCAAGATGGCAACCATCTTAGAGTTTAACTAATCTAACAGCTGCTCAACACCCTATGTGTAGAAGAGAAAAATGAAAATGGTGTCGCCCAGAATCCGTGATGGCTGTGCTGTCTGAGGTGGCTGGAGCATCTGCTGAGGCCATCATTGCTAATGTACAAGCCATTGCTTCTTCCATTTGGTGAGAAGTCTGTGCTCCCACTGCATTGCCAGTTTTTATATCTACTTGTTAGAACTTTGTTTCCTGTCTTTTGCTGGTGTAGAGAAATGCAAGAAGAGTTGATTTTTCAGTCTGCTCAGCTTTTTACTTGTTCTTAGGACAAAGTGGCGACTTTGAACTTCCTTGCATGTGGAACTGGAAACTGGAAGTCTAAGATGCTCATTTTTCTTTACGTTGTTATTGGGATTTTTATTTTTTTTAATTTCAGGGTGAAAATGGGTTTTTTTTGTTTGTCATTTTCCTGAGAGCACTTACAGTTTCTGACCAGTTTACCTTTATGAATAAGGGCATATATGCCTTTAGGTTTCTAACTTTATATAGTATCTCCAATTAGACTAGTCACCTAGAGAAGGCCGTGGATTTTGTCTTCTGTAGATGCTCAAATTCGTAGTTTGGAAAATCCTCACAAGGCGCAAGCCAGACATCTTAGCTTGGGCTGCTATAATAAAAAATGCTCTAAACTAGGTGGCTTAAACAACAGAAATTTATTTCTCACAAATCTGGAAGCTGGGAAGTCCAAGATGAAGATCCTGACCGATTCACTTCTTGGGGAGGACCTTCTTTGTGGTTTGAACTATATCTTCACATGGTGGAGAGATGGAGAGAGAGAAGGAGAAAGCAAGCTCTTCCTATAAGGGCACTAGTCCCTTCATGACAGCTCCACCTTCATGACCTAGGTACTTCCCCAAGGTCCCATCTCCAAATACTATGACATTGGGGATTCAGGTTTCAATATATGAATTCTAGGGGGACACAAGCATGAAGTCCATGGTTCCAGATT